GCAGTTGGCATGGGGGAAAGGAGGAGGCTGTTCCTGACACCGTACCTGGGGACAACAGGCAAAGTCACAAAGCTGCAGCCAAGGGGGACAGGACAGGAGAGAGCCAAGAACAGCACAGGGAACTGGAAATCTGGGAGAACCTGCAAACCCTCCCACCAGGAAAAGGGAAGGGCCACCAGCCTGGCATCACGGGTCAAGTGGGAGCAGAACTAAAGGCTTTGCTACTTCCATCTAAACCAGAGGCTTTCCCAAATGATTTGGTCACGACACAGGGTGCACAGAACACAGTCTGTCAGGCCCTGCACAACCCCAGAGTGCCCAGGCAGAACCAAACCAGCAGCCCATGGAGAGCCCGAGACCTTCCCACACCCGGGACAGGATACAGATCCACCCCATTTGAAAATCAGAGGCCAAAAACCTGAATGAATTCATTACAGGCACTTCATGCTTCAACAATTCCTGCCTTCAGGATGTTCAAAGGCTCAGCTCTTCCCTGGCAGCAGGGAAAGAGTCCCCAGGCCTGGCTGACAGTGCCACACTCATCACTACAGGTGTTTATTGGGAACACAAATTCTTCTGCTGATGCATCCAAGATGAAATGAGAGCTCAGCCAAAGCAGGGCAGAGAGGGTGAGCTCCTCTGCCTTGGAGGAACAAAAGTGCAAGGACACCGCCCAAAAACCAGTCTGAAGAAAGATCTGCTGGGGGAGGAACACATGGGGGTGTTTTTACACTTGGACCCTGCCTTTAGTTTTCAGTAGACAGAACACAGCAAATTCATGTCCCAGGCCAGGTTGGACGGGGCTTGGAGCAGCCTGGGCTGGTGGAAGGTGTCCCTGCCCACGGCAGAGAGTGGGACTGGATGGGCTTTGAGGCCCCTCCCAACCCAAATCACGCTATGAAGGTACATCACATCTACTTCAAACTGTGCAGGGCTACTCACTTGGCAATCTTCTCCTTCAAAGCCTTCCAGTCCCAGAGGTCAGAGGGGGTGACGTTCCACATGTCATACTGAAGGATCTGAAGAACACAGTTTAGCCCCAGTTAGAGAGGGCACTCTTTTCTCCACATTTTATAACTCCCATTGGAAATGGACCTGTTATTGCCATTAACTCTTCTCTACAGTTCAGCCTTGGGAAGTTCCTGTATGGTGACCTTACACTCAATGTTCTGACTGTGCTCCAGGGCACAGCCACCACTGGCCCAGTCTTGCTTTCCTTTTCAAACCATAGAATCAGAATATCCTGAGCTGGGAGGGACCCCCAAGGATCACCCAGTGCCAGCCCTGCCCTGCCCAGGACACCCCAACCCTCCCCCCTGTCCCTCAGAGCGTTGCCCAAACGCTCCTGGAGCTCTGGCAGCCTTGGGGCCGTGCCCACTGCCCTGGGGAGCCTGGGCAGTGCCAACCACCCTCTGGGGGAAGAACCTTGTGCTGAGCTCCAACCTGAGCCTGCCCTGGCACAGCTCCAGCCCTTCCCTGGCCCCTGTCCCTGTCCCAGCCAGCAGAGG